CGTTGCTACAGTTGTAACAGACAAAGATCTCGCACTGCCCATTGGCGCAAGGATGCGAAATGTCTCCATACAGAACATTCATGAACTTCGACTAACCTTCTAACCATGGAAGACGGCAGGGCGGCGAAAAGCTAGTGCGGACGTGTACCGGTATGTGAAGTGCCTGGAACATTTAAAACTGCAGTGTGTCAAATGTCTATGCCTGCATGGACTAGGTGCAGATGAGAAGGGCGGATATCGTAAGTTGGGTTCCACTTCTTAGGTAGTGCTTCGGTTCCGTCTCGACGGAGAACCGACCACAAGTCAGTGACTTTACTTCTTCCTTGCGAAAGATGAATCTTGATGGCGAGCCTGACTTAGAGGACCTTGTTGAGCGGACCGGCGAGTCGTATAAACTGTGCATCTAATTGGCTGAGCGTTTAGCGAAGCCCATTACTCCACTGACCCGAAAAGTTTCATTCTGTTTGTTTGTCTGTCTGTCTGTCTGACTGTCCGTCTCTCCGCACGATAAATCGAGAAAGAATTGAGATATCGATCTGGGAATTTCAGGGTCGTTTTGTATCATAAAAGACAGATCGAGTTCGAAGATGAGCATTCTAGCTCAAAAATTGGCTGTTTAAAAAATCAAAAACTACAGGTCGCAATATGTATTTTTATCAAATATTTTTTATAGGTTCTTAAGGGGTAACTCGTCGAAGTAGAGCCCTGTGGGCGACAATTTCGTCCGTTTGGCTCTATCTTGTACCGTTTAGGTGCTAGGGGGCATTTCTTGACAAAAATGAGGTGAAAATGATCAAATGGTCGATTAAATCGTTAAAAAGACTTCATTCCGAAAAATTGTATATACACTCCTATTACCTCGTCCCGGGTGTCAGCGCCGCAGGCCTAAGGCCTAGCTATATGTGCGCCAGGCGCGTCGCAGCGTCACAGTGTTTCGTGAGATATCGCGAAGCCTGTTACGCGAGACGTGGTCTGGCGTACATCTACCTTGTAAGGTAATTGTACGTATGCCTGTATATGTGTGTGTACGTATGTTCTTAATGAATTACTGATTGACTCTGTGACATTAAAATGGTCCAGTTCACTTGAATCATGTCGTGCTGTCTTTATGCCCTTCCTTACCAGAGAGAGAGAGAGAGGGAGGGGCGGGTCGGTAAGCCAGCACCCATGGCGCAGCGGTGCCTCGACGCGGCTTGAGTCCCGAAGCTCCATCCGCGATGGCGGGGTGGGGAAGTCGGCTCGCTCTAGGCTGTCCGACCTCCTATTGGCTGCAGCGGTGCGCGCGGGCTGCCCTCTGAAACAATAAAGGTAGTTGACGCGTGTCCTCCGCCTCAGTATCCCGCCGCGCCGCCTGCACGCACCTACCCCATGTCGCGTATGCGTTCAGCGCGCGTCCTCCCCTCCAGTCGGCGACAAGCAGTATTGACGATACCAGTGTGTTTTCAACAATGCGTTGTCATGAACTTCAAGGAGGCAGAAGATTTTCCGCTGAAATGGATGAGCAAGATAGATGCTGAATCCTATGTGTCCAGAAACATATGTCGCGCCAGCATTCGAGGAGCGGATTCTGACGAAGATCCAAACAGTCGACATGCTGAGCGTCTGTGCGCCACGAAGAGTCAGCGGTGCGGCGCCGCGTCGTTCCCCGGTCGTAGGCATCCGCTTCGTCGCCATGGCCGAGGAGCATCGGAGAGGCTTCATGCTCTGCCTTTGGGGTTTCGAGGGCACCCCGCTGCAGGACGTCGTGGACCGCCTGCTCCCTAATCTCCGCCGTCTCCATCTCCACCTCGCGATCGGTGATAACAACGTGACGATCCAGTCGCATGTCACATTCGTTAGAATATCGTGTCACGTTCTTTTGAACGTGAATCTATGCCTAAATGGCCACTGGATTAGCTGATTACGTTAAAAACGAATGTGACACTACATTTAAACGAATGGGACGTCACATTCTTTGAATAACAGTGATCTACTGTAGCTAAGTAAATAGAACATTTCAGGTGGGGTGATAAGAAGAAGGAAAGAATCAACAAACCGGAAGAGCACTGCCTTCTAATCGCCCCCCACCCTCCGTCCTTTTTCACCCTTCGCCCAACTGATTCCTGTTTTGGTGATTCTTTTCTTCCTCTTGTCATCGCGACTGACATGGTCTATTGATCGTATTGAGGGTACACTATCATATATAGCTGACCTTATCAAAGATTGCGAGAGTGACGATGGTGTTGGTTGCCCTTAAAATTATAATGATGATTTGTCTATGAATCTTCAACAGAGCCGAGGGGGAAATCACTAGGGTTCGTAGCGTACGGACCATTTCGTGGTATTTCTCCTGCCATTTCGTCTATTTCTCGCCTATTTCGGTTTATTTCAGGCTATTTCGCGCTATTTCGGAGTATTTCAGGGGTATTTCGCGACTATTGCACCGACTATTTCGCGTCTATTTCGTCTTTCTTTTGGTCTATTTCGCTTCTATTTCGCCTTCATTTCGGACTATTTCGGGGGAAAGTGTACGAACTATTTCGCAAGTGATTTCCCCCTCGAACAGAGCATTGATGCGATCAAGGACTAAATAGAAGTAGGGTCCACAAAACTGAAGAGTGGAACTCCAAGCTCATATTACCGACCAGAAGTTTTAAAACTTAAACTCTAAAATTAACGTTAAAGGGAGTTCAGTAATAAGTTTCGGGCACCTGCTGCGGACAGCCCCAATGGTTGATGCTTTCAAGTCACCCACTCTAACATAATCATCTGCTTGAGTGGAAAATTGTTTTAGCCCGATTATAGAATGGAATTTAGTCTGGTGCCACTCCTCTTTGTCGTGCAGACAAATTTATCGCTAAGCATCTGAAGATTATTGACGACAGTTGCGCCACAGCTGATGCTTTCGACAAAATTAAACAACAAAAGGAAAAAAGTCCATAAGCATCAATGAAACAAGACGCAACACACCACATGATGAAATGCGATGAACAGAATCCATGGCCAGCAAGAAATCTAGAAACCGCTCAGACGTCGAGAAGGAAATTCAAAAACACTTGAGTAAGACAGAAAATTGGGAGGCTTATCCCCCACTCCCTCTCCAAAAAGCAAACAAACATTGAAACCAAAATTCTCAAAGTATTTGAACAACCATCCAGAGCTTTCTCTTGTTTTGGGTGCCAATAAGGCATTCCGGTAAAGCGGAAATGTAGAAGAATACAGGAAACAAGAATACAAAAGTCACCATGTTAAAGCATAGTGATGTCCGTTTTCTTTTTCCCCACATACTTCTGCATTTCAGCTTTACCGGAATGCTTTATTCACTGGCACAGCCTAGAGCCAGCGTGCTTCGCAACGGTCTCCACTCTGAATTAATCTCTTCGTACTGGCGTGTGAAAAATGCGTGATAGATGAGCATGTTTACAAAACTACGCAAGCAAACTATGAATAAAAAAGTCTAAGATTTTAATGTGTGTCTCTGCTGAGACCAGGCACCAGGCAGTTGTTGAGTCCGTATTGACGTGGTGCTCGCCCTTGCCCTGGACGTGCGCTTCAGCTAGCAGCCAGAGGTGCTCGCCATCTTGGTGGAGTGTGTAGTGTATGATTATGGGACTAGGTGCGTCTGGACGGGGCGTGGCCTAGCACACAGTAGTGATTGTTGGCCGGCAGGGGAAGTTAGGACGATACTCACCCGCCGATCCCCCACCCCACCCCCAAAGGACGTCTCGCGTAACAGGCTTGGCGATGTCTCATGAAACACTGTTTCGTTGTCGAGAAGTGACATCAATAACACCCTGAAAATTTCAGACCTCTAGCTCACGTCCTTCTTGGGGAACGGACTGACGGACAGACAGACACAAGAGCGATGGCATTAGCCCACTTTTAGCTTTTAAGCAGAAGAGCGGGCTAAAAATGCACTCAGCAAGGTAAAATATTTTTATAGAAAATAAAAATTTGTGTGACTGATCAATATTACTTATCTCAGGAAATACTCCAAGCAAGATTAGGGAGTCAGATTCAGATGCTGAATCGACTCCAGACACTGCTGATGTAGAAGATGGGGGCAACATCTCAAGCAGGTAATTGTGGCCAAAAAAAAGTTCCAACGGAAGTGGGATAAGCTTCACGCCTGCAAATTTTGCAAATATGTCGGGACTGGCAAGCTGGACAAGCACTAAGAGGCTAAACATACGAATGAGGAAGAAGTGAAACAACTTATCAAATACAGAAAAGACCCTGCCGTCCAGCTTGTCAGTGAAGATGATATAGCTGCTGACAATAGAGGGGAAAAAAAAAAGAAAACAGAAATATTGCAAAAACTACGGAATGACAGCATGCATAGGCACAACATGCTATTAATTCAAAAAGGAGCAGTATAATCAGACCCGCATAAGAATGTATTGCTGACGAAAAGAAGAGAAGTTGCACCTAGAAAGGAACACGAAGTTCTACCCTGCACAGAGTGCAAATGCTTTGTCAGTCGCCACCAACAAAACACACAATAAA